CTCCAGTAAAGTATAGATACACAAATCTTCTACTTAAGTACAGTAACGAAGTATTTGTACTTCGTTACTTGACACCTCTCCACACCACCTTAAACAGAATGCTTTTCGCAGAAGACACACCCAAATGGCTGTAAAGAGCTTATCATTCAATTCAATTCATTTTATTTTGTATAGCCCATAATCGCAAATTACAAATTTGCCTCAGAGGGCTTTACAGTCTGTACACATACAACATCCTCTGCCCCGAAACCCACCATCGGCACAGGAAAAACTCCCCAAAAAATGAAAAAACCCTTACAAGAGGGAAAAAAGGGAAGAAACCTCAGGGAGAACGTCAGAGGAGGGATCCCACTCCCACTGTACAGAATGAACAATGTATAATACATGCAATTCCTATGACAGAAATGATTCAAGTAACTGTGAGTAGTAAGCCAGGCGCACAGCAGGATCGCTGCAGGGGCAACCACCATCAGATAGAACCACCATCAGATAGAACCACCATCAGATAGAACCACCATCATCATGATCAGAGAAAATCTGTGGAACTTTTGGATTCCGGTGTTGAGACACACACACACACCGCCTTAAACAGAATGCTTGAGACACACACACACACACACACACACACACACACCGCCTTAAACAGACTGCTTGAGACACACACACACACACACACACATTGCTTTAAATATACGTACGTATATACATATATACTGTACAACCAGCTTTGAATCTGGGACCAAACCGTTCACCTGAAAGTCTCAACGTTATGAAATAAAATAAGGTTTACTTGAATTGTGTTTGAAAAAACATTAACAATTCCAGTTAGGGAGGGAAGTACACATACTGGCACACTGGTGATTTGTGCTCAACATTAGTGGCGGCTGGTGGATTTGTTTTTGGTAGGGACAGACAATCCGTTTCAGTAAACATCCCAGTATGATTCAATGCAAAACAACTTGTCAAACACGCATTAGTTACGCAGTTAAATATTTAACATTTATACCAGTTTTACAACAGTTTACAGTTTTTTTCAATCGCTAACAAGCGTTTGTCCAAACAGTTTCAAAACTCTAAACACAATTAGCACAGCATCGGCGTTTTGTGGCCATACCATTCACACATTTCATGTCGTTTTCACACAATATGCAGTCAGTGAACACATGTCCACAATGCTTACATTTTTCTTAACAGACAAGCCAAACCTCCCAACAAAACGATGGATTGTTTTAGTAGTCTTCACAAATGTTAACACACACCATCCCACAATAGCAAAAACAATATTCCAAACCGTAGATACAGTATAAAAACCTCTGCTTCTGCAATGATATCAGTTCAAAAACAATATATCTCAGCTGATAATGAACAAACTATTGAATAATTGACAGCTGATTTATGTTGGGTAAATTGGGCCAACAACAGCTGATTCCAGTCTGGCTTATTTAAGGAGGACTTTGAGGAGTGATGTTTTTGGAAACAGAAAAAGACAAACACTGTAATGTCTGGACGAGGAAGAGCAAGGGGCCCAGGGAGAAGACCAGGTCCAGGGAGAGGTGCAGGTGAAGAAGGAGGTGCAGGTGCAGAAGGAGGTGCAGGTGCAGGAAGAGGAGCAGTGAGAGGAAGAGTAAGAGGTGCAGTGAGAGGTGCAGTAAGAGGTGCAGGACCAGTGAGAGATGTAGAAGGAGGTGCAGGTGCAGGAAGAGGAGCAGTGAGAGGTGTAGAAGGAGGTGCAGTGAGAGGTGCAGGTGCAGGAAGAGGAGCAGGTGCAGGAAGAGGAGTTCTTTTCTGCATGGAGGTGGAAGGTTTATGACCATCAGCCACATGACCAGATGTCCCTCCTTGAAGCCATGGATGCTGGCTGCAGAGACATCACAGTTCAAGATTGCCAAGGGTGGATCCGACATGCCAAGCGGTTTTATCCCAGGTGCATCGCTGATGTTGTCAGATGTGATGTTGACGAAAACATGTGGCCGAACCTGAAGATCGCAGGGATTAGATCCATACATATTTTGCTATTTTTAGTTCCCCCCTTTTCATCTGGGCTTTTGGCTGTTGTTGTTTTTTCAGAATGCTCGTGTGTTTCATGGATATTTTGTTAAAATAAAATAAACCTTTTCTGTTCTTTTATACTTTTTCTACTGTACCTTCTTTGGTAAACAGTTAAGAAAAAATAACTGATTTGCTTTTTACTGGAATGCGTTTGAATGTGAACATTACTGTACATGTGCACATACAGTTCCAAACCAATACATTTAGTGTAAATGGTAGATTGCATGTTACCTGAAACATAAAAGTCTATGCAATTTTTATAATGTCAACAATAGCCAGAATTTTGAAACCTGGTGTACTTCGTTTGACTGCATGTACCTTGTGAAGTGAAAACAAATGTTATTCTTTGACAGAATAATTTTGAGTCAGATTTCCAGTGTTTTGGTAAAGTTAGTGTGTGCAGAGAAAGATGTGTTATGTTTTGAAATTAAGAGTTAGTATATATTTAACAAAATGTGTTTTTGAGAAGAAAATGATCAATTTGGCCAATTGTGTCTTGTAGGTGTGAGTCTGTGTTAAGAGTTTAGAAAAAAATTCTGAAGTATGGGAAAGTGCTTGTTAGCGAGAAAAAAACTGTAACATGAGGACATATTATTCAAACAATTCAGTATATTAATGAATATATAACAATATTCAGAATTTGATATAACTACCATATCATAACAATGATAAATATATATATATATATATATATATATATATATATATATATATATATATATATATATATATATATATATTAGTGCATTAGTGCATCTGGAAAGTATTCACAGCGCTTCACTTTTTCCACATTTTGTTATGTTACAGCCTTATTCCAAAATGGATTAAATTCATTATTTTCCTCAACATTCTACACACAACAACCCATAATGACAAAGTGAAAAAGTGAAATTTTTACAAATCTGTTAAAAGTAAAGAACGAAAACATAACATGTACATAAGTATTCACAGCCTTTGCTCAATACTTTGTTGAAGCACGTTTGGCAGCAATTACAGCCTCAAGTCTGCTAATATGCCAAACATACAAGGAATTTGTCTTGGCGGTTAGTGCGCGACAGTAGACAGACCAGACAGCAGTGCACAAGTAATAAAATAAAGTAAAATGAAATGCTAATGCAATGGGTTAGTAGCTATGGGTTAGTATAAAACAATGGAATAAAGTTAAACATTTAAATATTAAAAAAAGTTAAAAAGAAAAATATTAAGCATAAGGTGCACTAACGAACAAGTAACAAACAAGTAACAAAGTGACAAGTGACGACAAAGTGATGAATTACAGTTAAAGTGGCATGTGCAGTGTGAAGGGGAGTGACCGGTGGAATGTTATAGTCAGTCAGGGGGGACCGGCTCTGTTGATGAGCCCGACTGCCGACGGGAAGAAACTGTTTGTGTGGCGGGAGGTCTTAGTCCTGATGGACCTCAGCCTCCTGCCAGATGGAAGGGGCACAAACAGTTTTTGTCCGGGGTGAGAGGGGTCGGCCACGATCTTTTTAGCTCGCTTCAGAGACCTGGAAGCGAACAAGTCCTGCAGGGACGGCAGATTGCAGCCGATCACCCTCTCTGCAGAGCGGATGACACGCTGCATCCTGCCCTTGTCCTTGGCTGTTGCTGCAGCGTACCAGACGGTGATGGAGGAGCAGAGGATGGACTCGATGATGGCCGTGTAGAATTGGATCATCATCGTCTTTGGCAGGTTGAATTTCTTCAGCTGCCTCAGGAAGAACAACCTCTGCTGAGCCTTCTCGGTGATGGAGTTGATGTTCAGCTCCCACTTGAGGTCCTGGGATATGATGGAGCCCACCGGTGCTGATGGTCCGAGAGGCTGAGACATGTTTCCCCAGCTCACATAAAAGTATCAGTTCCACAGAATCTGTGGACACAGTTGACGGCCTGTATCAGAATGTAAATGAAGTATTTGTTCCACAGAAGTTCCCTGATCACGATAACGTCTTTACAGTCTCATATCTCAACAGTCTCAATCTGTTAGTGATTCCCAGAGTAAATACAAATCATGGGAAAGCATCATTTAGTTACTACGCAACAAACAGCTGGAATAAACTTCCTGAAGATTTAAGACTTGCCCCAACTCTGACCACGTTTAAAACAAGACTGAAAACTTTTATGTTCAGCTTCGCTTTCTGCTAAATTTGACCTACATTGCACTTTTAACCTCTGCTTTTAATTAAACAATTTAAATAAGATTTTAATTTATAATTTTATTTGCTGTTTTTAATTGTCTTTTAATTCCTGCATTTTATTTCACTTTATTGTATGAAATGTTATAATGTGAAGCACTTTGAGTCTGCCTTGTGTATGAAAAGTGCTATACAAATAAAATTGGCTTGCCTTGCCTTGCCATAGGTTTGTGCTTCTCAAACCTTTTCTGTCAAGACTCACTTTGGAGGACAAAAAGATGTTCATGTCCCACAACAAAACTTAAAAACTTTGCTAAATTTTTTTTGTTGAAAAGACATTTTGTGAAATCCCCATCTATGCTTTTTCAAATATTGGAATAAAAAACAGTGGTTATCATAAGCAGTAAACGCTTGATTTAGTAATAATAGCTCATGTATTGGAATAAATACAATACATTTTTGCACAGTGATGGGTTTTTTTTATGCACAAGTTGACATCTACAAAATAAAATTTTAGTGATAAAAATTGAGGCCATGAGAACAAGGATACAAAGTGTTGTGATGAGCTTAAGTTGTGCAAATTTACCTTTTCTTGATCTCATTATTCCTCTGTTTTCTCCAGAAGTGTTCTGCAGAAGTAACACCTGAAGGCGTGTCATGTGCAGAGTCTCAGCAGAGGCTCCAACAGGATAAAAGCAGTCAGACGACATCACAGATCATCACTCTGGAAGCTCCAGCTGAACGACCAGGAGACTCTCACAAGACTCTGCTGATCATCACAACTTCCCCAGGTGAGGACAGAAAGAGACAGGTGAACATTTACTGCTTAACTGATCTGCAGTCTGTGCAAAGATATCTGTCTTGTTGGTGAGTGAAGGTGTAGAGTTGACTGTCTGTTAAAAACTCACAATACTGTAATACGGAGAGCTTTTCTCATCAGGTTGGAAAAATGGCCTTAAAACAAATTGAAGTTCCTGCTCTGGGTCGACCTTTCACCCTCGGAATGCTCTATGATGCGCAAAGAGATGACCTTATCAAAGGTAAGTCTTGGATTACACTGTGTTAAAATTATTTATCTGTATGACTTTCTTTTACAGCTTTGCTTAAAGGGACTGAAATCATATTACTATTTTTTCCTCTCCTTTTTAACATTATTTTTCGCTATTAAAAGGAATTTTCACATGATTTTTAGTTTCACAATGCATCTGTGAACATCCATTAGTTATTTGGGGAGCACGCTGTAATAGTAACTGACAATGGTATGATTGATTAGACAATTGAATTGTCGTTTTGTATTATGGGCCATTTAATTGGCTATTAATTTGCAAACTACAGTATCTAAAAGAATTTAAAATATAACAAGAAGTGAACACATATTATTTGGATTTCCCTTCTGCCATACACTGAAAAAAACGATATTGGCTGGTTTTTACATTTACTTTTTTGTATTTCGAACGATATTAATTCATGTTTCTAATGTGAACGTGATTCAGTCATGTAGGATTTGCATAAACGTCAAAAACGTAACATTTATTAGGTTAAATGTATTTAATTTGAATTTGAAGTTCAACTAACTTAACTAACTTAACTGAATCTATTTGAAAGTGATTGAACCATTCATATTGATTCAACTCTACAAAACTATATTAACCCAACACAATAACATAGTGTTAAAGTAACGTAATTGTTTAGCATAGAGAGAAACCAATTTAATCATGTGGAAATCCTTTCCATGATTTTTTAAAAGTAAAGCCAACGAGTCATTTTTTTCTTTCTATTTTTAAGATTGATTCAATTCATTTTCACAAAATGATCCTACTGCTTTGTGTTTTCTCAATTTTACAGGTTTGACGTTGTGGGACCCTAAAACTCTACAAGAAAAGACGACCCAAAGTCCTAAAGACAGCAATGGTTTTGCCATTAATGATTGTCAGTCCATTGAATCAAAGTCCTTTCTGCTGGATGTTAATGCTTCTCTGAAGGCCAGCTTCCTCTCTGGACTGATTGAAGTGGGAGGATCTGCCCATTACCTGAAAGATCAGAGAGAATTCAAGAATCAGAGCACAGTGACTGGTTTCTACAAATCTACAACCCGCTTGGAACAGTTGTCAATGACTGACCTGATGACCTTAGAATCCTGTCAAGAGGACATTATCATCAAGAGTTCTGCAACACACGTAGTCACAGGCATCCTTTATGGGGCGAATGCTTTCTTTGTGTTTGACAGTGAAAAGTTAGAAAGCAGCAGTGTTGAAGAAATCGGGTGCAGCATGAAAGCTATGATACAAAAGATCCCCTCATTAAGTAAAATTGACAACCACGAAGCCATTAATCTGACTAAGGAAGAAAAATCCCTGAGGGCTAAACTTTCCTGCAAATTCTTCGGAGACTTCGCCCTTCAAAGCCTCCCTTTATCATATGAAGATGCAGTTAAGACCTTTAGAGAACTTCCACAGTTACTGGGGGAAAATGGAGAGAAAGCTGTCCCAATGAAGGTCTGGCTGATGCCATTGACTACTTTATATGGAGAAGCTGCTGAGCTGAAGAGTGAGATCAGCGGTGGACTGTTGGGGAAGATACAGCATACTCTTGAAGATTTGAGGGAAATCCAAATGAGAAGCAACGAATCTCTGGAAGACAGAATGGTACAGAACTTTCCACATATTAAAGAAGAGTTAGACACTTTCGAGAAGTTGTGTCAATTGTATACATCAAACCTCCAGGAGACCATGAAGGAGAAGGTCCCCTCCATCCGTAAAGAAAAAGAAGATGAGAGCTCATTAGAAAAAAGCTTCAGGGACAGAGACGAGTCCCCAATGAGTCAAAAGAAACTACTCAAGTGGCTGAATAATAAGGAGAGAGAAATCAGCGTCATCAAATCCTGTGTGGAGACCATGGAGGGAACAAAGATTGTCAAAAATCAGTCAGAGCTTGACAGAGAGGCTCTTGCTCCAGATGTAGACAATACTTTGTGCTTTATTTTCACCTCCACCAAACCGGGCGATACTTACCTTGATGTGATGTCCAAATATTTGGACTCTCCTATAAAGGGGAGCACCACTGAAGACGAGTGGTTCTACTCAGATGAAGTCTTGACCTCTATGAAAGAAAAAGCCAAAGCTTTCCAAGACTTCACCAAAGCACTGAGGAACAACAACAGGACCCGTTTCCTTATCACAGCCATTCCAAATGAGGAATACAAAGGAGCAACCGTCTACCATTACAAGAAAGGCATTCTGATGAGCAAAAATTTCTCAGGACCTCAGCTTGATCCTGAAAACATCACAGACAAAAGAGATCTGATCTTTTGTAAGTTTATTTATGGTTCTAAGTCAAATACACTGTTCTAATCAATGTACTGCAATAACTTGAAACCTGAATTTGTGTGGTTCTCCCCATCAGATGCCTGTGATCTCACCCTGGACCCAAACACTGTCCACAATAACCTTGTTCTGTCTGATGGAAACAAGAAGGTAACATACGGATCAAAGCGGCAACAACATTCTACAGACACAGATAGGTTTAAAGTACACACACAAGTGTTGTGCCAAGAGGGTTTATCTGGCCGCCATTACTGGGAGGTAGAGTGGGATAACGTCTCGTTTAGAAAACGTATTTATGTAGCTGTTGCATACAAGACCATTGATAGAACAGGAAGGGGTAAAAGTAGCGAATTTGGAAATAATACGCTATCGTGGGCTTTTGGCCAGGGAGGTATAAGTGTAAAACACGTATTTCGTGCATGGCACAATGGAAAGGTGTGGGAATCTCCTTTTCCCTCTGATGGCTGCTCCACACTGGGTGTGTATCTGGACTGCCCTGCGGGTACTCTGTCCTTCTATAAAGTCTCCTCCGACACACTGACACACCTCTACACCTTTCGCACTAGATTCAATGAGGCCTTGTACCCTGGCTTCAGGATTTACAATGAGGGCAACTACGCCTACCTGCCTCCTCTTTAATAGGACCAGTGCTGGTGACTTGTTGGATCCTTGGTCTGTAAATAGAGGGACGGGGTTACAAGTAAAGTCTCTATGGTAAAATACCATTCAATGTTAGCTTGAATTTAGCAACTCTTAAACTACATTGCAAATTTTATTCCACTTCTTATTTTTTAACATTGTCCTTTTTATCTTTTTGATGATCTTTATGTTTGGATGTAACATTGTCCTTTTTATCATTTTGATGATCTTTATGTGTTTATGTTTTTAATTGGTTTATGTGAAGCACTCTGAAGTGCCTTGTTGTTGTAATGTGCTATTCAAATAAAATTGCCTTGTCTTGCAATTGTCTTGCATTAACAAATTCCAAAAGTGTAAAAAATATAAAGTTACAAAATGTTTCATTTTCAGTTTCTTGTTCAGTTGATGCAGATATAATGGGGTGGACGATTGGGGACAATTGCATGTTTTATTGATTGCATATTTTATGATTGCATGTTTTATTATGACTTATTGATTTATGATTGTTTGCATGTTCGATTAACAATTTATTGTGTGCTTTGAGTTTTGGTTTGCGTTGTATCCTCTATCAATTAACAATCGTCCCGAGTGACAAGCTACCAATTAGGGGCATATGGCCAATGGACCAATGGGGAAAGGCCAGGGCGGGACTTTCATCTTTTTAAACAGGAAGACGAGACACTGAAGAGAACAACAGCAGCAGCAGCAGAGGGCAGTCAGAGACGTCGGGACCGTCGGATCATCGCTCTGCTGCGGTGATAAACATGGACGGACTATTTTAGCTTTCCTATATATTTTATTCATTGTATTAAAGGGTCTTAGCTCTTACCTAGGTGGCGTTGTTGGCAACACACTTTTTTTAAAACCTCGGCCGCTGACACAGAACCTCAATATGGTTTTTGCTTAAAAGTCAGATTTAACTCGATGTCTGAATCAGATGTAATTCTTCCCTTTAGAGCTTAGGAAACACTAATGTCAAAAATCTAATGTTACTGTAAAACCTTTTGCAATTTTGTAAATGTGGGCTTCCTACCAATTCTGTTCTTTTAATGCACATACTTAAAAAATGTTGTCATTTTAAATGAACTGCAATATTATATTATATTATCTTTGTATGTCTGTGTCTAACAGTAACTCCTGTGCAGACAGAAACTATTTTACATCAACTAACACAGCTGTTTGAAGAGAACACAGACCTGTAAGAGGTCCCAGCTTAATGACTCCCGTTGTGCTTTTTAAAACACGCTTCATTGAGTGCATATAAATCACCTATAAAGGACACGTGAGTCTTTTAACATGATCTGACAACATACACATGTCCTTCAGGGTCCCTTTGTCCTTCCTCAGAATTTCTACCCAACACACATCTTTTGCTTAACTGTTATTCACTGTTCTTTATTACAGCAACGAAGTCAGATTTGCTGTATTACAATTTTATTACATTCACAATAGTTATGAAGAGTAACTTATTCACTACTTATGAACTTAAGCTCCAGTTGTATTCAATAGAAAAACCTTTTTATCCGAGAAGTAGATAAACACCTGATTCTCAAATGGAATTGTGTGTTCTGAAAAACCTTAGCCGTTTTACCTCATTTTGAGGCGTAGTAATTAAAACCTGGAAAATTTTGAGTTTAAATGCCCAACTATTCAGTTCAGAGTAGGTCATGCAACATATTCCAGTTGACTCAACTAAGTAAGTATGTGTGGTGAGAAAATGCATCTAACACTGATGAAACTGTCTCTCAGGCAGGAACACAAGCGCTACCTCTGCTGCCGAGGATAAAATCATTAGAGTTACCAGCCTCAGAAAGCTCAGATTGGAGCCCACATTTATTCCTCACAGAGCTCAAGTAGCAAACACATCTCAACATCAACTGTTCAGAGGAAATGTAAATCCAATGCATGTCAATTAGCGTAATGAAAGTAGAAAGCAGCAGAGAACGGTGGTAAGTGAAGCTGCAGCTCAGAACATTTCCTCACATGTTTTTATTCCCAAGATCAAGAATGAACTTTCATGCTCAAGTACTAATAAAGTGTACACTTAAGTAGTCAGCCCACACTCAAACACATCGCCTCAGATAAGAGCTGCAAATCTGGCTTATACTATTGATGGTCTCTCAGACTACTAATGACTGATAACTAAGTAAATGCCAAAAGGCTGCACAGTGAAGCTCAAACATCCAGATGTTGTGATAATAAGCAGTTTTGAAATGTTTACTTTAAAGATCAAGATTTCTGAGCACTGCAGCCTTTGGCGACCTCTGCTGGTAATATCAGACAAAGCAAGGACACAATGTAAACTGACAATAATGACGTGATCCATAATGAGTGATTGCAGCATGCCGTTTACTTATAAACTTTTAAACCCTAATAAATACAAACAGATAGATAATTAGATTGTATGGTTATACTGATTGGACTGCGAGAATAGAAGGATATGGGTTCTTTCAGGGCCTTTTCAGCCACTAGAGGCACCTTGGTGGCTCTGGAGTGACACGAGACGTCATAGCAGGAGCGATCAGCACAGCCCACCATCTCAATCCAGCCCTAAAAGAGAGAAACAACTGTTCTTTACTCGCATCCACAAAGTTCTCATTCCATACGTGTGGATGAAAGACAAAAAGATGTACATAGGAGGTTTTGGACTCAGCGTCCCAGCAATCACGTGCGTATTGACCCATCTCGTTCTCCATGTTCTGATGGAAACAAACTTTATCTTTAGACAGCCCGGCTTTAATCACATAGAGGTATATTCTTCCAATGAAGTAACCCAGCATGGAATTGTTGATCACTCCCTGTGGAAAACAAATGAATTATGATAGTTATTATTTCAACATGTTACAACATATTGGATTGATATTGCTCAGTCAAAAATACAACTTTTTATACAAGCAGTATCTCAACATTGATGTAGTGACTATCAATTAACTTCAAACTTAATTATGAAATAATATAATTTGTATAGAATTATACATTAGAGACATTTGTTTTGCTCATCCTTAATATTGAATATGTGTACACAAAATCCTGCTTTACATTATCAAGCTCTGTAAATATTTGTATTTAGTCAACAAAACGTTTGCGTTTGCTTATCCTCGCAGCACGAAGACAAGCAGGACAAAGACTAGGGAGTCTTTCGTGGGAGTCAAGACAAGCAGGACAAAGACTAGGGAGTCTTTCGTGGGAGTCAAGACAAGCAGGACAAAGACTGGGGAGTCTTTCGTGGGAGTCTTCGGGGCGGCTGAATGCGGCGCCTTCTTCTAGTTTTAATCATGTGTTTGACCCCTTTATCCATACCTGTCCGAACCTCTTCCCGCAGATACTACAGGCCTCTGGACAGATCCGCTCTCTATCGTAACCTTTCCTCTCTCACCTATCCCACCCGCTCCACTCATGTCCAACACCTCGTCACAGGAGGCCTCTGGAACTGCCAGTCAGCTACTCGCAAGGCAGACTTCATCTCCGGCTTCGCTATTCAGCAGTCGCTTGACTTCCTTGCTCTCACAGAGACCTGGATCACACCTGAGAACACATCCCTCACAGTCCCTCTCCTCCTACTCACAAAGCCGGCAATCACCATGACTACATCTTTACTAGAAACTGCTCTACCACTAACCTCTCTGTAACTCCACTTCATGTGTCTGACCACTTCTTCATCTCTTACTCTCTTCCACTGTCTATAACTAACGACCCTGCCCCATTGACTGACTCTGTACCTGTTCGTTGCAACATTCGCTCCCTCTCTCCCTCCTCCCTAGCATCCTCTGTTCTATCAGCTCTCCCTTCCACCGACTCCTTCTCACTCTTGCATCCGAACGCTGCTGCTGAGACTCTCCTCTCAACTCTTTCCTCCTCTCTAGACTCACTCTGCCCTCTGACGACCCGACGGACTGGCAAATCACGTCCGGGTCTGTGGCTGTCTCAGCAGTAAAACAATGTTCCAGCATCATTTTATATTACAGCTTTTTATGCCACCTCATTATAATGTGAATAAACACACAACTATCTATTCACTGTGCTTTAATGTGATTATATAAGAGTCCATACGTGTTTAAGAATCAACACATGAGATGTGCATCAAGTATGTCAATTGGAAACGTCATCCAAACAGTGAAGCCAGTTGAAGGACATGCATGTAGATGTCCCGTCCAGAAGAAGAGGACTCCACGGCACTGCAGCAGGACCTTCATGGCCTTCTGCTACAGTGACCCAGGCTGTGAGTCAGCAGTCAGGTTCCTCATGGTGTTCTGCCTGCAGGATCTGAGATGGACCAAACACATTCATTATGACTATAGCAACATGTTAATATGTCTTCATTCAGGTCGGAGTGATATGGCAAATGATTGCATTGCATTTCTTTGTTATCGTGCTATATGTAGAGTACACACAGAAACTCCTGATATATGATATATATGTTTGGTCTTTCTCTGTTTGAGACAGAAGATGAAGACAATGAATGTTCCCACATCACTAGCAGGTCAACATTAAGCACAAGGATGATGACTGTTTGCAAGTTGATGGTCCACAAATCCACACTGGCAGACCCATCACCAGGGTGGCTTCACGTGGTGGAGCAGTGAGAAGTAAGGATGAGCCCTGTACTAGCAGTCATGATGGAGGTGGTAACCCTGCACCAGCAGTGGTGATGAACATGCTGTGGCATCAAACACGCCACCAGGAGTGTTGTTAAAAGGCCTTCAGCAATGCAAGCAAGTGGCACTAGTGGTCACGATGGAGGCTGCCTGCAAGAAGTGACCAGCAGTCATGATGGAGACGACTCGTCACATGTAACACGTATGGCTGTTCCTCCTGAGGACTATTCACATGATGAGGAATCAAACCAGTTGCCAGTATGGAGAGTCAAACTATTGAGGATGATGTGATCAGATAGTTGATATGAACGATTTCATCTTTAAATTATTTGTGTCATATCTGATCATTGACTTTTGATGTGGTCTTTATAGTGCAGAAAAGGTCCCAGTTCAAGAGGTACTGCTGGAACTCTCCAGCAAAATGAGCAGAAAACAAGTTGAATATGAATGTCTGCAGTGTGGGAGGGAGCCGTGTGAGGATTCCAAAGGGTTCCAATGACCCCAACGTGATGCTGTGTAAAATCACATGGGGAGAAATGAGGAAGGGATTGATTCAGGACGGCCAAGGAGGGA